CCCGCCCGGGGCTCGGCAAGGCCCGCTCGGTAGGGCCGACCCCGGGCCCGGCGCGGGGGTGGGGGGGGGAGCTGCGCTGAGGGGAGGGGGCCGCGGCCCGGCGGCGAGGTGTCCGGCAGAGGCGGGAGCTGGCCCGCCAGGGCTGAGGGAGGGCCGGCGGCGGCCGCCCGTGCCGAGGAGACGGGGCTGAGGCAGCGGAGGAACATGGTTGTTTTGTCCAGAGCGGGGTGGGGATGAGGGATGCGCGGCCAGAGCCGTCTCGGCGGGGAAGGGGGGGCGAGGGGTTGTGCCCGAGACCTCTGCTCGCAGTTGCAGGTGCAGAGCCCGGGGCCGGCCGGCGGGGCCCGGCCTGGCAGCGGCCGGGAGGGGAGCCGTGCCGAGGAGCCATCTCACGGCAGAGCCCGCAGAGGATGGGGCTTGGCGCGTAGGCGGAGGTAGTGGCTGGTTTGACCAGCGCAGGGTGAGTAGCCGCAGGAGGAGCGGGGCGACCGGTTGCTGGGCTCGGGGCGACCGTGGGCCCCGCAGCAGGAAGGCCCCGGGTGGCAGGGAAGAGAGGGGGAGCGGGCCGGGAGCAAGGCTGCCCTGGGCGTAGGCGGGTGCAGGGCTCTCTGGAGGGACGGTGGCACCGAGGGGAGCCGTGACCTCGGCGAGGAGTCTCCCCGCAGCCAGGTGTGGGGCCGAGGGGCAGGCTGTGCCCAGCAGCCATCTTTGTGGGGTGCCCGGGCCTCCCCCGTGGGGGGGCTGCAGCCTGCTGCCTTTCAGTGCCTCAAGGATGGCTGAATAGCACCAAAAAAAAAAAAAAGAAAAAAGATTAAGAGGAAAAAAAAAATAGATCATCTCAGCAGCCAGCTCGGTGCTGCGAGGAGGGGGCCGAGGAACTATTTTGCAGGCATCTGGCTGCTGCGGAAATGGATTTCTTGAGGAGAGGGAGGCGCGGGTGGGCAGCGTTGGTGGCAGAGGGGAGAGGAATGCCACCCGGGCGGCCCCGGAGGCAGCGGGGAAGGCGGCCGAGAGCAGAGCCGGATGGGCCACCCCACGGCCACGGGCACGAGGAGGCCGGTGTGGCGGCGGTGAGCAGCCACCCCCGTGTGCGGTGGGGGGCAGAGACGGGGGGAGCAGCCCGTGGTGAGCAGGCTGTCTCCCAGGGCTGTGGCCGAGCCTGCCTGGTGCTGCAAGAGAGATCCTGTGAGGATTTTTATTGCGGTCTCTTTGTTAGCTACAGACAGGCACGCACACACTCCCAGCTTTCAGCCAGGTTGTGGGAGGTAAGTGGGGGGGGCGAGGAAGGGGGTGTGTGGGGGCGGCCGTGGGGAGCAAGGGGGCTGCGTGGGGCCGGGCAGGAGGGGAGCAGGGGGCACAGGGCCGCCGCCGGCCCCACCGACACTGAGGAAAAAAAAAAAAAAAACAGCCCCTGCGATTTCCAGGGACTTGTTGGCAACTCAGCGAGGGTTGCCATAGCTTTTTATGTAGGGTGACCAGAACCGGCTGGAACTGGTTTGAGGCAGATCAGCTCCTGAACACAATGCAGTCACTGAGCTACTACAGTGGGATAGCTTCCTCCCTTCATGGCAGCCAAAAGCAGAGGAGCTTGCAGAAAGATACCATCCCAAAACAGTATGTGAATGCACACTTTAGACACACAGCACTGGTATGTGGCTAATATAGTCATAAAGGATTCTGTATATAAATGTACATATTTGCAGTAACTGAGATTACTTTGGCTTTTTGTGCCTTTTTATGCTTAAAGAATGGGCAAGAGCTGAGATTTATGACCCTTATTAAAATATTTTTGCTTTGCAAGGGTGGGACACTGGTTATGCAGTCTATTTTAAAACTAAACTAAATAAAATTGATTGAATGATTTGTAATTGTAGTTATGCTTGTGACTGAAGAATGCTGCTTTGCATGCTGTTTTATTTACAGGGTGCTGTCTTGTGGTTTTCTTCTTTAGGAGACGTTAAGTGTTGGGGGGGGGGTGCCGTGCCTTTCTCTAAGGCCAAAAGGAAACAATATTGTTGTAGAATTGTGCATAAAAGCATTGCAAAGATGCTGTAAGGCATACCCGTTTTCCCTTTTTTCTTTTTTTTTTCTTCCTTGTAGGCCTATTGATTGGGGCTGCCTTTAACCCTTTCATATTTGCAGAGGTAATGCGTCTGTGGCAGTAACTGAGCACTGGCTAAAAAAATCTTTCAAAGGTCAAGGTTCACAAGGTGAGATGTGGTGTTTTGGGTATGAATATAACAATAGCATGAAGGTACATGTATGTGAAAAGTAAATCTGGCTCCTGACTGCACACTTGGCACGTTAGTAAGGAGACAATTGTTTAAGTGTTACTAAAGAAATGCTATTAACATCCTCCAGTTTTAATAGGATTAAAGCTATTATTTGTAAAGACTTACGGATATCTTATCTAAATACAGTATTATCATTGAAATATCTTATAGCCAGATATACGTATTTTCACAATGCAGTGATACAGAATAGGCCTCTGAGTGACAATCATAAATTGTGAGCCACATGGCAGTGAACGGTTCTGTGTTGTATTACAGCATTGCACATTCAGAATTTGCTGCCTGATTATTTAAAGGTTGCTCGTTTGGACGTATCTGAGTAAACCAATACTTAATTCTGAATTAAGGTCTTCAGTGTTAAGCATGTACTTAATATAGCCTACATGGAAAAAAAAAAAACATACAAAATAAATAGTATGGATGGTGTTTCTTAAACTGTTGTAACCCAGGGAGGATTTTGCAACAGCCAAGTGAAAAGATGTATTTTAGAGGTTTGATGGAGCTCCAGTGGGTTATTAGTGGCATGAATTATAATATTGTGCAGTAATGAAATAAGAATAGGGAACCGGATGGGCAGTGCATCAGCTCCTGAGGGATGACTACTTTTAACTCAAAGCAATGGATAATGGATAGGATTTTTTTTCCCCCCTCATCTAAAAAATAAATGTGTCCTTAGATTTGAGCTGGCATTTGTATCTTATAGAGAAAGCTGAAGGATTCAGAGAGAGGGCGAGGGGGAAAGAGGAGAAAGCAATAATGAATATAGCAAAGGGAAGAACAAAGGCTGTTAGAGCTTGCACATTGGAACACTAAACATTTTGCCTTGGGGATTCTTTTGCTAGAACTGTTACTTCCTATAACAGGAAATCAGCAACTCCAGAATCTCATCCAGTATGATTTTTGAGAAATCTGACCAGTCCCGGCTGTGTTAGCTGGCTTGGGAATCTACAATCAAGATAAACATGGAGGCAGAACACTAAAAATGTTCTGTCCTAGGGTGCAGTGAGGGTCTTTTCCTCTGTGCTCAGCAGAATAAAGTAGACAGTCTTAAAAGCCTTGAGAGGTTGTGGATATTGGGTAAGTTGTGTGGTGGCTGATGATAGGCAGGGTGCCTGCATCAGAGAGTGACAATACAAGGGAACCTTCTCCTTTCTGACTGCAGTAGGTTACGTAAGGTATTTAGATACTAATTGTAGAAAAGTGAAAATAGCATGCCGGTGTGTAGCCTGAAATTATGGTTTTGTGGTTTTTAATACAGCTACAGTGTGTTGTTTTTCAGATTTGATAGGGCAGTAAATAGCTGATGTGCCTAACAGATTACTGTGCTGATTTGGGTTCGTATTTTTCATAATTTGGATGCAGAGGTTCTATATTTGACTATAGACATCCGTAGCAAAATTATGCTTGCAAACATGAATTCTTGTTGCATGATAGGAATAGTATCTATTGATGCTGATGATGCATGTTCGTTTCCAAGTGTCAGCTAAAATTCATGTTACATGAGAGCACCTCTTCGATATATTTTTTCTCTCTACCAGAATAGTAAGCAGTTTTAAAATTGTAATTTCTTGAATTGTCACAAAATTCAATGTATCTGTTTTGTCTGGATTTTTGAACACGATCTGTAGTATGAATTTTTATTTTTAGAAAAGGAGGCTTTGAATTTGCAGGGATTTTTTGTGGGCTGTAAGATGAGAAACCTGAATAGATGCTGGAGTCCGCAATATCCTTGGTGAGTTTTGTTTTTATAGTCTAATAATATTTGTAAATGCTCTTCAGCAGGAGATTTTGCTTTTGCACGTAGGCCAGCTCTCCAGCAGAAAATGCTGCTTAATGCTGGAGGGTTGGTCCTCGGTGTCAGCAATCATGATCTCTTTTTGCACTGAGGCTTGTCTCAGGTATTTGATCTTGAGAATAAGGGTAATGATTTATCAAGTTCCAAGCCTCTTTTGCATGGATTAACTACTTTTGGTTTTCTTAGAGGTATGAATGTGTGTTAAAATACAAATACGCGTACAGATTGCTGGGAATGTATGTTTAAATGAAACCAAAACAAAGCTTGACCCTAACGTTTTAGGGCCTGTTTGTTGCCAGTGTTGCACAGGCTGGCCCTGCCAGACTTGGGGTGTTCTCACCGAGATTCTCTGCAGCTGCTTCACGCTGGTTTTGAGCAAGAATTGCCATCCACTGGAAAAAAAAAAACCCTGCATTAAAGGAAATGGGCAGGAAGCATGTGATTCAAGTTTGCATTCAATTTGGAATCTCAAAATCATATGCATTATTGTTGTACATTCAAAATATGTGGTATTGTCCCAGTCCATTTTACATATAGAAGTACAGAAATAAGCCATTTTTATAATTAATTTTTAAGTCAAGTGCAAAAAGAATGATACGGGGATTTACCTGCTTTTCATTAATTCATATCCATTTTAGGAGAAATTCAGGAGGTTGCTAGGCCCAAAACTTCAAGTTCATAAGTACAGGTAGTTTTCATTTGGCCAGCTGTGGATAATCTGCTGAGCTCCATGCGTTGTGGGAAAGGAGATGCCTTGCCCGTGTGTCAAAGTATCCTTGTTCTTTTTGCTAGCCAAAGGCTGATAATAGTGAGTTTTGGACCAGTTGCATGTGTTCTTATTTAAACTGTGCTAGAGGTGGTTCAGTGGTGGTGTGAGAAGAGGAAAAATGGACAGGCTTCAGAAGATACACCTTCTCTTTCCCTTCCTGTGTTCTCCTGCCCAGAGCGAGCTTGAGATCTCCATTTTTGAACTTTCTTATTTTTTTCCAAAATGGGTGAGTTAGACTGCAAGATGAGGCTTCTGTCAAAAAACCCCTGTGGCAATTTGCTTAAGAGAACAAACAGACATGGTCAAGAACTTAATTATACCCATTGCACGGGGAAAGGGTTTATCCTTTAACAGATCAGATAAGAAGGTGCAGGATATAGTAGAAAAGAGGACAAAGACAATTACCTGCTCTTTTATGATCAGTTGTAGAGATGGGTGTGTTTTGAAGATGCTGGTAACAGGCTTAAAACAGGTTGTAAAACAGGTCTGTCGCCTTAAGGGGATATGGTACTTGTTGGCTTGGCACAGCTTGGTGATCCCTAATGGCCAAACCCAGCTAAGGGATGAGCACAAGCAGGACTTTGCCATCTCTCACGTACCATTCTGAATAAGAGACTCCTCTGCAGAGGTCTTGCATTCCTAAGGCTCAAAGCTTGAATCCATGGGCAAACCCATTGGAAAAAAGTTTTGCCTGTATGAATTAGCAGCAAATAAAGCAACGTAAATGCTCAATCTTTAGTCTGGCTGCAGTTGCATCTGCATTGTGTACCTGGAGATAAGTATCATCCTCTGGGGGCTCCCAAATTGTTTTGTTTATCAGGAAAAAACACGGTGCGTACAGGCACGCTGTGAGTCTGTCTCTGTGCCAGGTTCCAGCAATACACCGTGAACATCATGCAAGTGCCACTCTGTATCTTCCTGATCTTTTTTCCTTGACTTCCATCTTCTGTCACCCCAAATGGAATTTGCTACCATTGATTTAATTCCTGGCATATGTGATTTTGAACTTCAGGATTTGTATGGAAGACACTCCTGAATTGAAAAATTAAAAATACTGCGAACCATTACAACCAAACTGCACCTGTATGCAAATCAACAGAATACACCTGGTAATGCATTGACTTCAATGGCTTTATTGCTTGTTTGTTTTCAGCATTTATTGGTTTAAAACAACTCTTGTAGCCAGTGTGTGGATTAACTGGTTTCTGTAGTATTCTGGAACTAGATGAATAAAACTAGAATGAGTGGAGGAATTGGGTCAGTTAAATAATTTTATATTATTTTGTAAATAGTTTAGCAATTATTCTAAAATAATACTTTTGTGTATAATTTGGAATTCCGTCTTTGGAAACACTCAAAACCTGGCTGGACAGTGTTCTCAAGGTCCTGCTGTAGCTGTCCCTGCTTTGTGCAGAGAGGTTGGAGTTCCAGAGGACCCCGTCAACCCCAGATATTCTAAGATTGGGTGAAATGCCCCTTGAAAACTTTTTTGGGCTAGTAAAGAATAAATTGTGAAATTCTTCTGAAACTGTCAACAGTGAGGTTACTGCATTGAGGAAAAAAAAAGGTGAAAATTTTAATACTTGTAATATGGGGGTAACGCTTATCCTCCAAAGCTTTTTTGAGGGAGAAGAGAGAGAAAGAAAATTACTGGAATGTTCTCTTAGAAAACTAAAGCACAGATTCGGCTTTCTCTTACTCATTGAGGCTTGTGCATGGAGACAAATCGGATTTTTTGGATTTTCCTTTTTTTTTTTTTAAGGCAGATAGATACAGTGTATAATATTGCTATATCGGATTGGTTGATCTATATTTTAACTGTAAAACACCTTATTCTTCACAAAAATATTTATATCAGGACTAGTGTGACCTTATTGGTACTGTGGGTGGTAAATGAGGCCTTTATCCTAAGAAACCAAAACGCTGCCTATTATGAAAGTTACATTTCTGGAAGCAGGAACCTGCCTGAGTTTTGTGGCAGGAACAAGTCGTGGGACCTTGGATAAGTGAAAAGGAGCTCATATTTTATGTGAGTGTGATAGATGTTGCTGGTTGTGGTCGGAGTGGCCTCCTGCATATCCTACTCGCCTGCTGCCTGCTTCAAACCACACCAAGTTGTGATTGGAGATGTGGTAGTTCTCATTTCCTGAAGAAGGTTTGGTGGTTGAATTAACATATTGCTTTTGTCTTTCTTTCAGATACTTAGCTTCCAAAGTAGATAATCAGTAGCTTTAGTCTTTTACTAATATATGTTGAATAACTAATGAACTGCTTATAATCTTTGTATTAGGCTGATGTTTGCGTAATGGTAGGATATATACTACTGTAGTTCTGATTGAATCACTTCAGCCTTCT